CTCTTGGGATTTCAGCAAGGTGACTTTTGGCCTTTCATTTCTATTATTTTTATATGGGGGTTTGAAGGGTTTTTGGGCTGTTAAGTTTCCCCTCTATTGCCTATATATATATGTGATATTTTGAGAGGAAATGGTTGGTGAATATTTGAGAGCAAAAGTGCTATAACCTGCGGGTTCTTCTTGGAAAAGCTTGAGAGCTTTGTCCACCTTCTTCCCCCCTCTGGAAAGCTTGCGAGCTTCTCCTCTTTCGTCTCGGTTTTTAACCTCCTTCTTCTCTACGCAAGTTCCACTCCACTTGTATCTTTCTTCTAGTTCCGTTGGTGAAGTTGTTGGCTGTTTTTGTTGGCTGTTTTAGTGAAGTTGTTGGCTGTTTTGGTGAAGTTGTTGGCTGTTTGGTGAAGTTGTGGGCTGTATTGTTGGCATTTGCTGGAAAGGTTTGAAAGGACATTGGATCCCTTTAGCTGTGGTGGACCCTTGGTTTGCATATCTAAACCTTATTTTAAAATATATTCCTACAATCGGTGCATGTGAGGAGTCCTCTAGTAGGATGTTCTGAGGATAGCCTTTTTTTAAAAAATATTGTTTCTTTGTTAATTTTCTTTTGTTTTAGTCGTTGGAAGTTGTCTCTTTCCTATTCTGAAGTTAGTTATTTTCTCTAACCTATTTTGTTCTCTAAGTAATGTCTAAAATTTATAAAAGTAAGATACAATCGGTGCATGTGAGGAGTCCTCTAGTAGGATGTTCTGAGGATAGCCTTTTTTTAAAAAATATTGTTTCTTTGTTAATTTTCTTTTGTTTTAGTCGTTGGAAGTTGTCTCTTTCCTATTCTGAAGTTAGTTATTTTCTCTAACCTATTTTGTTCTCTAAGTAATGTCTAAAATTTATAAAAGTAAGATTTGATTCTCTTTGTTGTTCTCTCTTTGTGTTTGCTTTAATTTGCTTACATCAACAAGGCCAACAAACTAGTTATAAAGCATTTCAAGGGAACAGCATAAAGAAAGTCATAAAAGAAAAACAACAAAGAATAAAATACTTCAGGAGGATGGCATAAAGCCATAAAAACAACCTTAAGGAACAAACCAAGTACTAATTTTCTCATCAGCTCTTGGTGGTCATTACTTTAGGAAAGAAGCATCACTGTGCACTACAGTTTGAACTCACAAATCACATGTTTGTTTATCAAGCTCATAACATTTTCTATAAGGATGATAAAAGAGGAATCACACTTAATAATGGTAATTTGACCAAAATATGTGCATTAGCAATCAAATTCAGAACATACATCTTCTTCAGTTGTAGTCCTTGGAACTGATCCAATGAACAGTTTCGCAAATTTGTTTCCCTCGCCATAATCTGGTACAAATAAGACAATATGTTACAAATATCAAAATGTTAAAGCTAACAAAAATTAAATCTGATGTCCTGAATTGAAAATTAAACAATTAGGTAGCAGGCTCCATCTTACCAAAAAAAATTGTACCTCAGGAATAAACTACATTCACTACTAATATATCTTTTTTGGATATAATACTAGTCACTGATCCACCACTCTATGCAAAATGGGGTAGGCAGCCAGTAAATTATAGCCCTGTCCAAAAGTTGACCCATTGGTATTAAGAAGTAATAACTGGCATTAAATTGATGAATATGCCTAAATGCATTTGGTAAGATGCAAAAGTTGCAGCGTGAAAATAGACTTCCGGTTAGAACAGATATAGTACAAGCCATCCATGCAAAAACAGCAGTCAATTAATTTAATTCAATCATAATGGAAAATATAATTAGAAAATATTAGAAATGACCTTTCTTTATTAGATTTAAGTAAAAATTTAACTTTTAACAGGACATAATGGAGAAAATGGATTCATGTAGCCGACCCCACATACTGGGATAAAGGCTTGATGTTGTTGTTATTTGTATCATGGAAAATATAGTTGCTACCATTAACCTAAAAGTAAATACGAAACCTACGGTGGGCTCGGATTATTGAGATCAAGCAAACACTTGGATTGTTAAGGTCAACCAAACACTTGGATTGTTTAGAAACAAGCACTAAAAGAAAATGTGCAGCCCATCAAAAGGGAATAAACATTGTAAAATGGTTTGAAATTGGTACAAAAGAATGAGAACAGCAACATGCTGATTGAGTATTAATTCATAAAAACTTATTGGCTTCACATGGAATTAGGTACAAAAAATAAGTCTCTCTTTACCTATATATTATAATTTCATCCATGTAATGCATGGATACAGTTGTCAATACCTATACACAATGTACAAGTAGAAAAGTTCCACCATATCACTCCACATGCAATAAGAGCAGTGCTTTTTTCTTTTTTCTTTTTTCTTTTTTGGTTTTTTGCAGTAATAAAGAGCAGTGCTTTACTATTATATCGAAGTCTTTATCAGGGCATAATAAAATCTTGTGAATTAATTAAATCTCTGTTTCCAACAACTTATCAGGTACCTTTCCAAAGTAATCACAATATGAACTTGACCTCTACATCTAAAATACGTATAGTTATACTTTGCACATATCTACTTCAAAAAAAACTAGGCTATTTTTACATATTATATTATGGCATCGATGCATTATACAAAGAGTGCTAGTATACAAAACTAATAGCTTCCCAACTATTTAGCTCCAAAAGTAAGCCTTTGTTATTAAGGAAATTGCTCCAAAAGTAAGCCTTTGTTATTAAGGAAATTGCATATGATCGTATGATCAACTAGACAAATATGCTAAAATGATGGTCCAAAAATCTTGATCATTCTTCTTGACAATGTAAGAAAAATTATAAGAAGAAAGGTGAGAAAGAACAAATTAAACTACAAAATTGATGGACCGAGATGAACTAGGGCTAGGGGTGCAAACGAATCAAGTCGAGCTCGAGTCATGCTTAACTCGATCTCGGCTTGTCGGTCAGATCGGGAGCTCAAACTAGGGCTCGAACTAAAGCTCGACTCAAGCTCAAATGCCCTGCTCAAGCTCGGCTTGTGGCGATGGGTACAAGCTCGAGAGAAGCTCACAAGGTTCCCATTCTGATCCCGCTTCCGTGTCCATGGTTCCACGTGACTACGCCCGAGCAATCCCGCTTCTGCATCCCCAGTTCCACGTGACCGCACGCAAGCTTCCACGCCCGTGCTTCTGCGCTTATGCCTTCCTCACTCGAGCCACTAAACGAGTAATCGATCCAAGTTTCATCTCGATCAAAGTCGAACTCGATAATCCAACGAGTTAAAAAATCTGCTCGAACTCGAGCTTGAAACTGGATAAGCTCAACTCACGAGATCATTAACGAGTCGAGCTCGGACAGGCTCGCGAGTCAGCTTTGCACCCCCTAACTAGAGCACATGTGAAGTGTTACACCTTCCCATTTAAAATACAATGATATTGAGCAAATCAAAGAAAGCAAAACTAAGCAAAAAAAAAACAAGATACCTAGGTTCTAATATACCAATATATGTCTTAGAGTGATCTCCACTAAATACTTAAAAGAATTATATGGCTATATACGATAAGAATTATAAGAGAAATTCAATATTTGGGCATTCGATGCATGAGATTCAATCCACCTAAAACTAAAAGATAGTCAACATGGGTCTCAAAGTGATGTCCGCTGGATATCTCAAAAGAATTCTACAGGCTATATACTATGAAAATTATAGGTGAAATTAAATATTTGACATTCCACGTATGAGATTCAATCAACCTAAACATCAAAGCCTATGATTCTTGCACATTAAAATACCACAAGTAAAGCAAACTAAAATACACTAGAGACGCAACTTTACCTAACGTTCTTTAAGGACCGTTTTTTTTATGTAAGCATTTCATAATGATTGTATATTGGTTCTACAACTGAGTTCAAATATTGCCTAGCAGAAATCTGATGAAAGTGAGTTATTGTTATTTATATACTTGCGATAGAGTTATCTTAATAATGAGCAAACACTACTCTAGCCATTCAGCTTAACTAAAAGAGCAAGAAATTGTAACTCTTCACAAAACCTATAGTAAGAACATAATTCATGACCTACCTATAGATTCTCCTATGCCCTCAAAGCCACGTTTGTTTCCACCCATTGGCATCTGATGGCCGCCAAAGCCCCCTACACCATCAGGAAGCCCCTGAACGCCGTGGAAACCTGGTCCCCCACCGTAGCCGCTGCCAGTAGTAGGGTAGTTCGGCTGACCCCGGTACGGGTGATAACGTCCACTGGTGAAGCCGTCGTTACCGCCGACATCTCCAACACCCCCTCTGAGGTATCTGTTGTGCTGGTTCGTGGGGCTGCCGGAGGACCACCGCGAAGGCATTCTCTCTAGCCTCCCAGCATCGCCGGAGTGGTCGCCGGGCCGCTCACTAAGACGTTCACCGGAACGCTCGACCCTGAGCATGTCCATCAGATCCGATGTTGCGCTAGTGTTTACACGACGCTCCTATCGTGCCCGAGCTTTTAGTGAGATTTTATGAGAGCTCACTGAGCACGGAGGCGATCACCTGGAATTTGGGAGACCAAGATCATCTCTCGCTAACTTAAGGGTCAAAAAGCGTAATCCCAAAAATTCTACCAAATCATTTTTTGTGTCATTAATTTTTCCAAAAAAAAAAAAATTAGTGTCATTTCTTTTAGCAACTATAATTTTTATTTATATTTTATTTTTTTATTATTTAAAAAATATATATACTAGAAAGTTACTTTCTAAAACAGTTTTACCAGTTACTTTATCTAAAGCCACTTTACAAAGCAGTATGAAAGTCATCCCAAATGAAGTCTGAAAGTACGAGGTGCGTCAAGAAGGGGGGTGAAGTGGATGTTTAAAAACTTCTTTAATAAAAAGAATTATTTTTTATAACTTTATGCGGAAGCGAATTTCATTCATAATAAAAAGATATATTATCAATTTCACCCACGCATTTAATCACAATTAAAAAGAAATGTGAAAATAATAAAGGAAACAACACATCATATTTATAGTGATTCGGTCAAACCTTGACCTACGTCCACTCCCCGGAGGCACCTTCTGATTATTACACTAAACATTTAGTAATTCTCCTTTAGCACCCATAGCTAGACGAAGAAGCCCTTACAAAATCACTTTCACCTTCCCGGTGTAGCGGAGGTGCCAAGTCCTTTAACACCAAATATACATTCTTTTTCCCAAAACTTTTCCTCAAGGTGAACCATGAATTTGATGGCACTGAGGTGCAAGCTCGCCGGAGCAACCGTGTGAAATCTCCTTCACTTTCCCTTAAAAACCCCTCTAAGTATCTTCTCCCTCTCTCAAACTCCACCCTTTCCTCTCTCCCTTTCAAGTTCTCTCTTTAAGTTTTCTCCAGAAAAATGAAGCTTCAATGGATGCCAAAGACACTTACAAAGTCTTATGATAAAGCTTAAATATAGGGCTTCAAAAAAAATTCTAAAAAATTATTTTAGCTATCAAAGATCGTACAGTATGATCTCAAGATCGTCCAGTACGATGTGCAAAATTTGACTTGTAAGTATTGTACGATCACCAATTAGTACTATAAGAACATTTTAGTTTGCTTGTTTGTACTGTATGATGTCTAATTAGTACTGTACGAACATTCAATAAAAATGCATTACGATCACCATTTAGTACTCTACGAACAGTTCAATTTGCCTGTTCGTGATGTACGATGTCTAGTTAGTATTGTACGAACAGTTCAATAAAAATGCAGTTCGCACAAGATGAAGCATGGGACGACCAAAATTATCTTTGTTGATCGTATAGTATGATACAGGTCATACAATATGATCAATATATCAAAATTAAGCTGTTTTGATTGATTAATCACAGGATTAAATTAGGCAATATTTTAAGCATCGTACAATACGATCAACTTCATACAGTATGATTAGAACAACTTTTCAAATTAAAAATTTTGCCTAATTTAATGGACGGTGGGCTTTCTAATTATAACAGATCATCCAGTACGATGTAGTGATCGTACTGTACGATTAGTTATATTTTAAAAATATTTTTTTCACGAAAATAAAATATTTTAATTAATTTCTATTACATCAGATCGTAAAGTATGATGTAAAGAAAAAATTAAAATATATAAAATCATTTTTTTGCTGCCCTTGTGTATGTGCACGATCATACATCATTACAAAACTTGACTCAAGAAATGAAATTTACAAACTCATTTAATATAAATAATTCTACATAATCTTGAGTCTTGAATCTTCAAAGAATGGTGCATAGTGTACCTGAAATATTAGTCATGAGTGCTAGCTTCTATATCTAGCAGGAACTATGCCTAATCCCTTTGCTTCAGGTTGTCTCCCAAATCAAGAGAAGTAGAAAACAAAATCCTAGTTAACATATCCTCAAATGATAATCCCTGGAAGGTTTTGCAACTCGATTGTAAGTTTATTAATTTAAATTTTGACTCCTTATATTTAAGTTTAGATTCAATTCCAACTATCTCATTAAATTTTAAGTTCATATAGTCATGTTGAGTGCAAGTTTGGTTCGAGTTCGAGTTTGACTCCAAGTCCAACATTTTTTGAACAAATTTGATTTAAAATTAATTTTATGTTTGAATTATGTTCAAATTAATTTCCAATTTTTTTTGTCCGAGTCCCTTATTATGCACTAAAAATTTCGACAACCTTCTAGCATCCCCTCCCCATGAAGAGAGGTAGAAAGAGAACCTGCCCTTTTAATCTGCCCATCTGAAAAGATAATAAATGGTCAAGGGATTCAGGACATTATCGGGTCCCATAATTAGTCTTCGGAGGTCCTAGTGATGATTGTTGATTGCTGATTACAGATAATTACCGATTGAGTGACTTAACTTTATTTTAAAATATTTTAAATTCCATAAAAATCAGGGAGCCTTCTGACGCCCCCAGTTGGGGTGGGAACTTGTACTTTATATCCTCCTTGCCGAAAAGATTGTCAATGACTGAGGGCTTTAAGACATTGTCGGGTCCCAGATTCGTGTTTTGACGCTCAAATTGATAATTATCGATGATTAGTTAAAGATAATTGTCAATTGCTAGTGATTGTACATAATTTTTATAGTGGGTCAGGTCGATGGTAGTTCGGTCGGAGTTGGTGGGCTTCAAAAAGTTTAGGACCAATAGATTCTTCATGTCTATAAGTATCGAATCCCTTGTTCCTCTTCAGTTCTAAGAGCATATCCCTTCGAATGGGAGAGGATTCTATTTTGTTTACATAAGGAAGAATGTGGGAGGTGGTTAGAGATAAACATGGGTGAGTAGATCATGCAGTTGAGTAGTAGGATTTGTCAGCTGGGTCCAATTTATCACTTACAAATCAACATACTCATCCTAAAAATCCCAATTAATGCTTCATTGAATTGAGAAGCATAGTTATGCTATCGTTCTTACATATCTATATGATGGGAGAGCCAATGATTCATCTCCTGCTGCCACCACCTAGTTTTTTGACAAAAGGTGGTAACACCCTCAATATGCTCTCTTAAATATGTGGCTTGCTCTCCAAAAGATCTAGGGGTTTGGGTACTCGACCAACTTGAACTAGGCTAGCTAGGAAAATGGGCTCACTAGGATCTACTTCCTCCTCATGACCTACCTCCTTAGGAACACTATGAATTGGACCCCAAGCACTAACCAAAATGGGGTAAATAATTAATGCATCAAAATATTTAAGTATTTCCTTTTTTACAACTTATTTCATAGATCGGTTTAATCTTCTTTGTGGTTCAGCCTTTAGTAAGGAATTTTCCTCCCTGAGAATCTTATGCATACACAAAGATGAGCTAATTCCTTTGGTGTCACCTATGGTCCATCCAAAAGCTTTCATATAATCATTTATAACCTTAATCAACTTTCCTTATCTTTTTTCAAACAAGTACAAATAATGATAGAGAAAGTTGAATTTTTACCCAAAAAGTATACTTAAGATGGTCAGGAAGGGTTTTAAGCTTTAAAATAGGGGATTCCTTTATAGTTTGTTTTAAAGTTTTACCCAAAGATGAGGCATCTAATATTTCAAAATTCCCCCTAAATTTATTAACATTATCTCTATCAATCTGAACACATTCTTCTAAACTCTTATAATTTTCCTTCAAAGATTCATCCAAAGTCCTTTCTACTATCAAATCTCTCTTAAAATCCTCAATAATAGTCTCTTTCAAATGAATCTTGAAATAATCCTTATTTTGTCATAAGGGAATTTCATGAACTTAAGCACATCTATAGTCACTTCATGTTCTTATACTCTAACGGTTAACTCCCCCTTATGAACATCTATTATGGCCTTACCCATTATTAAGAAAGGTCTCCCTAAGATAATGGGTATCTCCTTGTCCTCTTCAATATTTACAATAAAATCTATAGAGAAGATAAACATATCTATCTTAATAAAAACACCTTCTACCACCCCTTTGGGATAAGTATGTAATCTTTTAGCAATTGAAGGGTGACTGTAGTGGGTTAAACCTCTCCTAAATCTAATCTCTAGAAAATTAATATATGCATAAGATTGAAGTTGGATCTTAGATCACATAATGCTCTTCCAAAAAATTTATCTCTTATAGTCATGGGGATGGTAAAACTACCAGAATCTTTCAATATTTCAAGGAACTTCATTTGAATAATAGCATTACATTTTTTAGTTAAAGCTACAATTTCAAATTCCCCTAATTTCCTTTTCTTATTAAGTATGTCTTTCATTAATTTGGCATTAGTGGTCATCTATTATAATGCTTCTAAGTAGGGCATGCTAAAAGTTAATTTCTTAAACACTTCTAAGAATATAGAGAACTATTTATCTAGATTTTGCTTAATCATTCTCTGAGCAAATGGTGGTTGTGGTCTCTCTACCACCTTCCTAAAAGGTCTTTCATTTTCTTTAATTATTTCAAGTTGTTTTGTAAGTGGTTCAACTTCTAGAGGCTCTTCCACTATGATTTCCTCTCGAGTTTGATATTTTTTTCTTATAAGAGTCTCCTAAATCTTTCCCATATCTAAGCTGAATTGTATTACAATGCTATTCCACTTTCTTTTTTTCAACATTAGAATATTCTTCATGGGATTTACTATTAATCAAGCTAGAAAGTTTCCTTATTGGATTCTTAAGATTTCTAAGGGCTACAACTTGACTCTATAATTGGGATTTACTATCGTTCTTACATATCCAACTTGACTTTATTTAATGTGGGTGTCGGTTTCCCACAGGTGCAAGTCCCCTTAGTTAATTACATTTTAGGCATCATCTTGAGAAAATTATGATTAAGGACACTACATTATTCTCTCCAAGAGTTTGGTGCATAAGGGAATTTTTAGGCTCGCCTAATCCAAAGGAAGATAGGTTCAATTAGGCTAATCATCATGTGCAAATCATATATTCACTCGGCTGATCTAAAGAAGAGAAATTTATGGAATAAAAGACATCGTATTTAAACATGCATGAGAAAAAGATGAAGGTGGCGTCATCCACGTGATTTAGATGGGTGAGATTTATATCATCTGAAGGATAGAGAGCTTACCCACCAATAAGGCGTATAGCAGTAC